AGAAGATCAGATATTCGCTTAAAAATACTAAAACAAAAATGAAGGAAAAAATGAAATATAAAAGAGCAAAACATACAATGCCATTTTGCCCTACTGCTGCACGTGCAAAAAATGTTAGCATCACTGTAAATTGCGTTGAATGTGAGAAACCACGTCTCATATTCAGTGCAAAGAAACTCTCCGAAAAAGATAAGACAATACTGCGAAGATTCTTGGATACAATCTTCTATACTTGCGGTATGTCTTTCCATAACACATGTGATCTAGCAATGGCTATCTCGCCAAAATATGATGACGGTGATGAAGAAGGCGACGATCAAGAAGAAATCATGGATGTAGAAGGTGATAACAAAAATGAACGAGACGAACCTGAAGACTCGGATAATGAGGATGAAGAATCTGGTAATAATGAGGAAGAAGAGCCTGTGGAAGAGCCTGAGAAGAGGAGGATTCTATTCGTGAAATATTTTTAAGAGTCTTTGTCAATGACTCGTGGTCCTGTGCATCGCAAGTCGAGAAACCATACTATTCAGCTGGGATCTTTCTGGACGTTTATTTCAAATGCGGAAGTCTGGAAGTTACTAATGTAGCAAAAGGAGAACACCCACATTGCAGTGGTTGTGGTGGCAATACTAATTTGTCAAATAAACGTTTAAGATGGAAACAGGGTGGAGTAGCAATGGGAAGCGTAAAATAGGTTAGGGTTTCCAATGGGCGAACTTTTATTTGCATGTATGCAATTTAGTGGTTTAGTCTAATTTCTGTATGTATGCTTTTAGTCTGTATGTATGCGTTTTTAGTCCATATGTGTGCATTTTTTATTGTCAATTTAAGAAATAACGATGTATGCGGTTTATCACATGATAGTAAACATGAACTGTTTTTATTGGTCAATTATAAAAATATAAAAAAAAAAATTTTGGAGTCATGATTTACCGATCCGGCCGGGATATGTAAACCATTTTTACCACTTTGTGTCGCCTTATGTTAAGAAAAATTAAGTATCAAAAAGCTAGACTATCTGTGCTACCAGATGATAATAAAATGTATAATAACGGACAAAAAACCAGACTATCTGATAAAATAGGCAATATTAAAATGTATAATAATGAACAAGAAGCTGATTCATCTAGGCTATCTGGGCAGGACCCGGACATCACATATATAACTCACATTTGAGTTTTAGCAAATTCAATTAAAATTAGGTTAAACTCGTAATTTTAGATAGAGCAAATTGATTGAAAATTAATTAATAGTCATAATTATGAGTTTTAGCAAATTGTATTGATTTTACAAAATCATATTTTATATTTGAGCAAATTTGTACTTTTTTTTAAATTTAATTCGTGATCCATCTCCAAACCAATGAAATCTACTAATACATTTTGGGAAATTATTTTGCAAATTAATTTAGTGGGAAATTCAGATAAGAGCAATAAATATAGCACGCAGGAAATGTGAAATGAACTTACAAATTATTAGAGAAAAGTAGTTTAGAAGAACTGCAAAATTACTAGATACACCACTCAATATAAGCAAAATATAGTACGACCTGTGTTTAATAGAAATAAATAATTTTAATACTTTTTTTTTGTTTTTTCTTATTTATAACCTTTAAATAAATTATTTACCAGCAAATAAATAACATTTTAATAAAAAAATATCAATTTTGTGATTGTCACACCTCTTGTATTGAATAATTATGGCATTTTTAAAGGCCGGAATCCAGCGTCGCTAAAGAAAAAATTTTTTAACTAATCGTTCAATGTAAAAATTTTTAATGGATCCTGATTCCCTCGGTTTTAAGCAATTAGTTACACTATTTTTCAGCCAGGTTGTAATACAAATTTGGCTGGTTACTTTTTAGGCAATATCGCCAATTTGTATAACAACGTAGCCTTAAATGGCAAGTATATATTGATCAAACTTGTGATATTAATATTTGACGATGCAAATTTATCATTCAATATACCCAGAACATTATTATATAACACTTAAAAAAAAAAAATTCTGGGAAAATCAGCTCAAAAGCCATTTAAGTTATAATTAATTTGTAAAACCAGTTCCCCGAAATTTATTAGTAGTTTTCACTGGTTCGGAGACGGATCACGAATTAATTTATCCTTTTTTTAAACTTTATAAATAATATTTTTAAAAATATTAGTTTCAGGTCCGGGTTATATTTTGGCCAAAATTAAGTATAATTCCGGCCAAAATTAAGCATAATGCCGGCCAAAAACTGTCTGTTTAGTTTTACAACATTTTATTTTTTAATAATTATTTATTTAATTTATTATTTTTATTAATTATTATTTTATTTATAATCTACATATTTTAATTATAAAAATTAGCAGTTTAATTTATATTAATCATTTATTTTTTTATTGATAATAAAAGAAAAAATTATTAACTTATTATTTTGAGTTTTAGTAAATTAGTATAGATTTGAAATGTGATAATTTGATTTTTAGTAAATTAGGTTTATTTTAGCAGGAGCAAAAAGTATTTAAATTCATGCAGATCAGTTATGAGTTATATATGTGATGTCTGGGGTCCTATCTGGGCTACTAATGAAATAATGCACAAAGTGGATAATAACAAAATGGATGAAATGGATAATGATGGAATGGAATTACCCAAAAGAAATTATAATTTTTTAACAAAAAAGTTGTCTATGACTCTATGTAAAGTGTAAAAAAAGGAAACATATCTAATAGAGTTCTTGAAAATTTATTGTTGGACGATAATGATTAAAATAGACACTTAGAGAATCCTAAAAATAATAATCAAAATATTGATTCTGAAAACAAAGTAGTTTCTGAAAATGATGAATATGAAGTGATTAATTTTGCATCGCCAAATTTTAATGATAAGCCCAAATATCTAATATAGTTAATAACCATCATATGCATTATTGTTGGATTATTCTATGGTTATTAGAATACAAACTACGATTTAAATTACCAAATATTGCTATTGACTTCTTAGTTAAATTTTTAAGCCTCTTACTTTTGACAATTGATAAAAATAAAATTTTGTCTTTTTTTTCATCCTTATACATAGCAAAAAAGGAACTAGGAATATCTACAGATATAATTCAATATGCCGTCTGCAATAAATGCCATAAACTTTATGACATTAATGAGTTACTGGATAAAACTGAAGTTCAGATATGTAGTTTCATTAATTTTTCAAATTATACTATACAACATTTTCGATAACCATGTAATAATTCTTTAATTAAAGAAATAAATAATAATAATCAATAAATATACCACCTGATTATAATGTACCCAATAGGTAATATTAGGCAACAATTAACTCTTCTTTTTGGTCGCAAAGATTTTGAGACATTATGTTGAGAGTGAGCAGATAGAAAAATAATACAGAAGCATTATTCAATATCTATAATGATATGATTTGGAAGGAGTTTAAGAATGATAATGATAAACTTTTTTTTACAAAGAAACACGCCAATACAAATCTTGGTTTAATAATAAATATGGATTAGTTCCAACTATTTCTAAGTTCATCATATTCTGTCAGTGTGGTTTACACTATTATATGTAATTTGCCACACACTGAACACTACAAATCACATAATATCTTGATATTGGCAGTGATCTCTGGTCTAAATAAGTCAAAGCTTCATGAGATAAATAATTATTTGTATCTGATAATAAACTAATTAGTTCATTTATGAAATGGTTACAACATAATAACTCATAAAAGATGAAAGCAACAATGATTGTTTTCATCTTTTGAATGTATTAATTAATAGGTTATAATGTCCTAGGATATATTAATTATTAATAGATTATATTGTCCTAGGACATATTAGTAGTGTTCTAGGACATATTAATATATTTAATATATATTAATATGTCTTAGAACACTACTAGGGTAAGGTAATGGCCTAATAAATAATAACAAGGTTAAAAAATTTTGCAAATAGATTAGAAATGATCACATATTATAATTATTACTACATGACATAGAAATTGGATCAATCTTTGGTATTAAATTATTATTTATATGATCATTGAAATAATTATTTGAATGTAGAAATATAAACCACTTGCATAGTGCATCATGTATATTGTGACCATCTGTTCTAAAATTAAAAAGTTCAAAAAATCATTTATGAGATCTAGTTAATCCTTCAAACAAAACTATGTAATACTTACTATAAACAATAATGCCATAAGTGGAAACCTAGCTTATCAATGAAACAGAAGGCACAGTCAGAAATACGAAGTTAGTTGGTGAAGTTGGCCATAATCCTTTGTCAATAGCCATATTATTTGCAGTTTTAAAGAATATATCATGAGAAATTATTTCATAGAGTTCACTTTCAAACTGTACTACTGATCTATAGGCTAATTATTAATATGCACTTAAAAAAGAATTGAGTTACATGTTTGTCTTAAAATAATTGTTTTTTTTCAATTAATAACATATCTACTAAAGAAGAATCTATAAAATTGCACTCTTACTAAAGGAGGGTCATTGCACTTCCACGAAGGAAGGGTTACAACCAAAGGAAAGGACGAAAGGTTACAAAAATATAACAATACCTTTATAGTTAGAAGGAAAGAAACTATGAAAAAATATTCTGAAAAAAATAACAAGTGTACATATTCATTCTAACAAACCAAACAACTGCTTCAATATCATGAAACAGAATAAGCAGACTTTTTTCATTTGTCATTCTAAATCTCACTTATTAGAAATTTTCAAACTTTCTATTTCAAGTTGTAAAGATTGAACATTATCTTTTGATGAAATTTTCAAACTTTCTAATTCGTGTTGTAAAGATTGAATATTATCTTTTGATGAAATTTTCAAACTTTCTCTTTCGTGTTGTAAAAGATTGAATATTATCTTTTGATGAAATTTTCAAACTTACTATTTCGTGTTGTAAAGATTGAACATTATCTTTTAATTCTTGCTTTTTTTTAGCCAATTCTTCTTTCAATTTATTGTTCTCGGTTAGTTGTTTAATTAATTCTGCTTGCCTCTAAACCTAACTCATTTATTTGTTCTTGTAAGTTAGCAATTGTTTGATGAATGTTAGCGACTTTTTGTCCTTTTGGAGTTTGGTTATTTGCATACTTCCTAATTCTTTCATTAAGGGTATCTAAATTAGAAAGTCGATATGTATTTTGGCAAGTTCCTAAGTAGGTTAATAATCTCTTGCGGGGCACCTCTCTAACTTCCTTATTAATCTCTCTTGCACGTCCTACTAGTGGCGGATTATCGACATAGACAATATTAACTTTATTAAGAATATACGCTAAACCAGCATTTTCCATTCTTAATGATGCTCGATCATTTGCACACTTTTCATAATCCTCAAAGTCCGAGAAATTAACTCGCACTATGGTTGTATAATTAATAACTTCTTTATCAAAAATAATCGAACTCAGTAAATCGTAAGCCTCAATTTCTTCTCTGGTAAACCTTCCATTGGCCACAAAAAAAATTTGATTTTTAAAAACCTTCTTCTTTGACAAAATTAGTTAATTCAGCTAATTTTATTAATACTCCTTGAGGAGAACATCTTAAAATGGTGTCAATTATAGTTAATTCCAGTTTTTCATTACCATTATATCCAAGTCTATTTCACCTTTTTCAACCTGAGAATTTCTTATTCCAGAATGGCTTCTAGAATTCTCGTTGAATACATTTTCAAATTGTTATTTTTGTTAATCAAAAACATCACCTAGTGCTGATTTTCCACTACCAGTTCTGCCGATTAGCAGTATATTTTTTTTGATTACCATAACATATTATTTTAGCCTTGAATTTTTTCAAAAAAAAAACAATTTTAGGTTGTAAAATAATGTGCTAACTGTGGGAATAAGTAAATATGATTTTTGTTCTGATAAGTGTGGGGGATATTTTTTTCGGGTATACGCTTTATGTGGGGGAGAAAGTGTGGAAGTGAGAATTAGTGAAGAAAATCTTAAAAGAAACAGACATAATTTCGCATTTTGTGATTGTGATTTTTGGTTATCAGTGGCTTAAAATCACATGATAGATTTTTTCATCACCGGGACCAACCAGAGCACAAAATCTTTGGAACATTTCAGAAATTTTCCAAAAAATTCATTTTTTTGCATCGGAGCATTTGATCGGATATATTAGATACGTTAATACGTATTCTTTAGAAGAACCAGAAAGTTCTTATATATACTATTTAGAATAATCAAAAACGACATCCTGACATTTGGTATTAAAAAAAAAAAAAATTGTAAATGATTACTGGAATAAAGTTATAAAGGAATATTGGAATATTGAAAAATGTAATGTCTTTTAATAAATTTCCAACGTTTATAAAAATTTGCTGTATCACGCCCCCAAAAAAATTCCGGATTTATAAATTTTCATGGATTTAAAAAAATTTTGTGCGCTGTCACAACGGACGTTGGTATAACATATGTATATCCATCAACTGTTGAATATTTGAGAGAGAAATATTTCGTCAATAGTATAAGCAAAGTTAATGAAAATTTTAAACAAATTAATGAATTAGATAAAATTAATAAAAACTTACTATCTTTTAATAATTCATCAATCAATACTAAAGTAACATCTCTAAAGCTATTTAAATTAAAAGTAAACTTACTAAATTTCAATAAATTTACCTGAACAAATAAAATAATACAGATATATTATACGGTTGTTGTATTAATGTCGCGAAGTGGCGTTACGATATCTATAATATCGTATTATTCGAATAGCTAAGCTTGACTAATAAACTTTTCCTTTCTTTTATATTATGAATAATTAGTTGACTTGATATATAACGGAATTTTACAATGAATATCCAGAGTAAATAATTATTATTTAAAATATTGTACGCAATTACACTATTGACATTTAATCTTCGTACGTTTTATTTGTATATATAAATACAAATTTGAAACTTAATCATACGCGAGAAAATTTGGAAGGTTTGATTGGCTAAAAATTTATTTAGAATAAAAATCTTGTAATCTTAACTTGTTAACGGAAATGAAATAAAAATATCGTGATATAAATAAAAATCTTTGCCTATGTTTCTATGTAATAAAGTTTCTTACTCGTTAAATCTTCACCTGCTAAATTACATTCATTCATATAATTGTCAAAACAAAATAAAATAAAAGTTTAGACAAAATAAACTGTATGTTGCTAAAAATATTATGCAAATTAATCCTACGAAAAAAAAATCGTCAAAAAAGCGCGATACTAACCTTTGGCTTTGCGATTTCTTTTGCAAAAGCATCCTCAGAGAAACTAGCACTAGATCTTGTACACTTTGTTAAAATAAGTAAGAGATTATTTGAGATTTCAAAAAAAAAATTGTTTATGTGAAAAAAAAAGTCGCATCAAAATTATGAAAAAAATTACCAATTACTCAATATTTATGCAAAATATGCCAGTTTAGAACGCGAAATATATCCATGTAACGAAAATATTTAAATAGCTATACGAAAAATATATCAGATATAGTCTTCATAATCTTGATACTTTATTATCAGATTATAGTGTATATAAATTCATTTTAAATCGCTTTTCTCTTCTCTAAGCAACTTCTTACATGTTGTGGTGAGTTGAAACTTAGAAACTTACTTCTATAATAAAATTGACAGCAGTACAAAGGATCGTTGAAATGTACTATTTGGCCTCATGATGTTTTTTTATCCTACAAAAATGTAGAGCTTAAAATCTTGAATTATTTTCAATTGGGTGAAGAACTATAAATGAAATGCGTGCTTTTGTCAGGAAAGTATGGAGTTTATAACAACGTATCTAAGGGATGCTTGTTATGCTATGGTTTTGATCAAGCTTATTTATGAGGAGAACGACCTCAATTTTTTCTCTTCGTATCCTTAACAGAATCCAAGATTAGACGATTTCCGTCCTTCTTACTATAACTTATCTTGTAGTACCCGAGTGAGCTAGGTTGATTTCAACCCAACGATTACTATCAACATTGCGGGATTCGATACAAAATGGCATTAATATGTCGATTATTTCGATTATATCTGAATAAGCCCAAGTTTTTCTCGCCTTGCAAAAATCGATAAATTTAAATTTTTTTATTTTCGTCTGCCTGTGTAGTTGAGACAGGTGTATGTATTTTATTATGTCATTTTTCCTTATTTTTTTATATCCATAATTGACATAAAAACAGATATTCATTTGAAAAGCGAATCTTAAGAATTTCGCCTTGGTCAGTAAACTAATATAGAAAGGGTTGGTATTACATGGAGACCTAGTCTCCAGAAATCCTTATGTATATTCAAACAAAACAACTACGGTATGTTTTGGATGAACTAATAAAAAACTGTTTGATCTTTAGATTATCCGTACATTCCCTTTTCTATTTCACTACTTTATTTGTTTCATTATCTAATAAGAAAATAACATTTATACTGTATATTGCTAAACGTATATATTAATGGAATATTTGGATCCCTCCCAGAAAAACTTTATTAAAAAACATGTTCATACCAGGATATATAGCAATAGCGATAAAATATTTATTCCATTTATATATTAAAACATAATTACAAACTATCTCACTGTTGTATATTAGAAATAGACATTACGAGTTTTTCTGAACTTTTATTATGATTACTGTCTCGAACTTTTATTATGATTCCAAAATTATTTAATGATTTAAAGCTATTGAATTGGAAAAAGTTGAAAATGAAAGAGATGATTACTATTTTTTATTTTAGGTTTATTGAATGGGAATGGTTAATCGGCTATCCCAAAAAATAAGAAATCTTCGTAGGATTATGATTTCAAATTATCTAAATTTCTAATCGTTCATGTGTTTTGAGAAACTTATATAAAGAAATCAAAACTTTATAACTATTAATTGTCAAATTCTAAAAAATGAAATTTAAATATGAAATTTTTATAAATATAATATCCTCGTAATTTATCAATTATTTTTCACATGACCAATGCCAATAATTCTGGTCAAAAAAACACGTGAAAAAGAAATTTTTTGGTCACGTTATTTTCCGTAAATGACGTAAATCAGTCAACTTTCATGCCCTTGTAAATTGGAAACAAATTAAGTAATCAAAACTTTAATGCGACCAATCTATTAAACAATTTATATTACTTTATTACAATAAATATTTTTTAGAGTACTTAATTACTTTATGAACCCAGTTTAAATAATCTGATAAAAATTACAATGAAAGAATAAAGTGATTGGATTATACAAAGTAAAACATTTTCGAATGCATGTTTAAAACTTTAAAATACCAACAGAATTTTGCAGAAAAAAAATGTAATCGAAATTAAATTTAATTTTTCAAAAAAGTTTATAATAAATTTTTATGCAGGAAATTTTAAATGTGAAATTTAAAAAAAAAAAAANATACTCCATTTATTATTATCATTACCAACCCGAAAATTATAACTATCTTAAAATTGGTACTTGGTTTTGACGTTTGATTTGTTGTTGATGTATCCATTCTTTACTTTTTTTTAATTAATTTTGAGTGAGAGAGTTCGAAAAGCGGGGGAGAAAAAAAAATAAAAAAAATAAAAAAATAAAAATGAAAAATAATAATAATAAAGATAACGGTTGCCTTATTATTGTACGGATTGTTTCATGCTTACACAAAAGGTCACCTTTTACCAGTTCTGTACAGTTCTGTATATGTAAATAACTATACAAACTTGGTAATTTTAAAATACTATTTATCTATTTATTAATATATGCAAATAATCGTCGTTTATTTTACTATCCCAAATAAATTGTACTGTACTACTTATTAAATATTGCACAAAAAACCCAAATCTGTTTTGATTGTTACCGATGTTAAAAAAACAGCTAAGCCCTGCTTCGGAATTTTAAGCCCAAATAAAAAAAAAGTTTTGAAGTGTTATAAAGGTTATAATAACAATTAACATTTTTTTTTTTTTAATCATTTTTTTTTTTAAAAAAACCAGATATTAAGAATATCAATTGTATGGTTAAATTTCATATGATACATGTGATATATGTGAAATCTGAACTATACTTACTATACTTTTCATTTCTCTTCTCCATTCCTTCATTCTTTCACTCCTTCATAACTCATACCATCAACTTGATACTCTGCTGAAATAATTGTGATTTTTTGAATAATTGAACGTCAAATAGTTTGGTAAAAGGTTACTACCGTCTACCGTCTACCGATGTCATTAAAAAATTCCCAATACCAAGGGGGAGAAGATATGCATGTTATTTATCACCTATGTATGTTATCACATGGGCGTTATACTATACATAACTGGTCGATAAGAAATATAAAAATAGGGGTTTGAAATCATTAATAGAAAAAGGAAGTAAAAAAATCACTTAATAAGTAAATTAGTGAAACTTTATTCTCACTTTTTTGGTGAATTTCAATAAAGAAATTAAAGATATTCATAAAAAAAAAAAAAAAAAAAAAAAAAAAAAAAAAATTTAGAATTTTGCGTTTAAAAAAAAAAAAAATTACCTGCAGCAAAAAATACAAAGTTTTTGTGTTAGATCTTATTGAAAACCCCCCTGCCTGGTGTACAGGGACCTACTTTACAACTACATATTTTATGCTTGGCAAAAAAACGAGAGTAAATCAAAATTGAAATATATTATAATATATTGTGAACATTGTGAACATTATTGAAAGACAATGACGAATCTAATTTTAATTAATGCATAAAATCATGTCACACTAAAAAGTTGGGTTATAAATTTTCATTTTGAAAATGGATCAGTTAATGACATTTAGGTTCTACAACACTTATATTATGTATTATGTATTGGTGTGACAAATAGATCGTATCAAATCAATAACGATTTGTACTTCTGTATATACATTACCCCCCCTTTATCCTATCTGCTATGTTATGTAGCGTATGTAGCGCATGTAGCGCATACTCACACCCCCCCTTTCCAGGGTACGGTACCAGTCGGTACTCTTAATGGTAACTTTAAGTACAGAATATAATGGTAATTTGAAGTAAAAATTTGAAGAAAATTCGAACATAAAAAATAAATAAATAAAAACCAATTAAATAATGACAAATATTATTAATTAATGTTTTTTTACATCAATAAACAAAATTATTGATTATCTGTTATTTGTAATTTTGTTATAATATAAATAATTATTACATATAAAAGTATTAACTGTATAGATATTGCACGTCATATAATCCGCATAATTGATCAATCGTTAGACTTAAAGGGTAAAAAAAAAATCAAGTATTGATAACAATACTTAATCCATAAACAGATTATTAAAGTATTTGATAAATAAACAATATCCTTCGTTTGATCGACAACATGAATCGCGTGAATATTAATCAAATTAAAAGCGAGACTATCATAATATCAAATATAATTGGTGTAAATAATCTTACTTATAACAATACAGAATTATTCTTGTAATTAATTATTAAATGTTAAAAGTATCTTTTTTTTAAATTGTAAAAGTTCAATATATTGTTTATCTATAAAAAATAATCATTCGTTGAATCTTTTGAAACAAAAGATTGTTTCATGATAGTTTTATTATTTATAGAGACCAATAAAGTTTCTAGTTCTTGGCATATTTTTTTTTTTTTAGTCTTTTGTGATTTGTATATATTACCTGATAAGACTTGATTACGTTGTATATAAGGCTTACATTATGGAAATCATCGTCATTATATTAACTAAAATGTATAATTATTTAAGATCTTTTTTTAAAAAAATTTAATATATATATATATATGTATATTTTGGACAATCCATATTCGGTGATTAATAACTGATTATAGATAAATAAAATTTATTATTATTATTGTTATTATTATTATTATTATCATTTGATATTAATTAATATCTGATAACACGCAGAAAAAAAAAATTAACGTACAGGTAAATAATAAAGTAAAAAACATATCGGAAACCTGATTTAACTAAACTGTTAAACTATTAGTTTTTTTTAAAAAAATTTCTCTTGTGTTAAGTTATTTATGCATGACCATGATATAGTGACGTAAGATCGTCGGTAAATTAAATTTTTTTTGGAAATGAATGTATTCGCTTCATTTGTTAATCAAAAAACTTGAAAAAAAAAATAATGCATAAAAAAAAAAAAAAAGTCTTTTTTTAGGGAGAATAAATCAATAATATAAAAACCTTTTTTAGGGAGAATAAATCAATGATATCATTTTACTCAGCCCATTCGGCAAGACCCATTTCGAAGAGATCAAATTAATTAAAAAAATATTATTCATATGTGCATATATTCACAGATGTTTCTTTTACATTTAGAAATTTAGAAGAAAAAAAAAAAAAAAAAAAAA